GATAGCTTCCAAGAATCCCAAACTGATACAGGATTTTTTGAGCTGTAGTGAAATTTTGAAATTATTTAGTCCACTTAACAAATGGACTTCAAATGGGGTCTATAAGGTTTATATCCAATGTCATGATCTGTGGTCTTAACAGAACTTGAAATCAAACTCAGTTTGACTGAATTCAGTGTCATTGTTCTTGCTATTGTGTAGTATTATCTCTAAACTATATTTCCAAATTTCAGTCATTTGGAAGGACCCCAAGAACCAAACCAACATAGTGCTGTAAGACCATAGGGTGGAAAGAGTACTTCCAAATTGAGGAATTGAGAAAGGTCACACATTTGAAGAATTTGACAGCAGAGGGAGTAGAGTATTCAGTGTGCCAAGCTGTGGATGCAGAGAAATGCAGAATTTGTTCAGGTAGCAAGTAATCCAATCTGGCCAAAGTGTAGGGTGTGTGGGAGGATAAAAATTAAATTTAATACATGGCAAAAATAATTGTGATGTCACAGATAATCTTTATTTTAAAAGGATTATCTGGCCTTTGGGAAAGTTAATATTTATCTTTTTTTAAGTTGCAGACCCCAGCCTCGTTTGCACAGAGTGTTCAGGAACTAACGATTGCTCTCCAGCGGACTGGAGACCCTGCAAACTTGAACCGACTAAGACCCCATTTGGAGCTGTTAGCAAACATTGATCCTAGTCCAGGTAAACCCATGGGAAATTAATGGACTGTCTTATGTGTGCCCCTAGTGCTGCGCAATGATTCTTTAATTTTCTTTTGTTATGTTCCTGTAGGATTTCCCAGAGTAGTTATTCCAGATCTTTTCTACAGTATTTAAGTTTCTGTTCCAAATCTTGCCCCTCTTTATCTCAGGTTAGTTCACGTCAACTAGTACTTATTCAATACTTTTTTACTGTGCTGCTCACTTCATCAGGAAAATAGACCTCTCTGGGCTCCTTTATGTTTCTTTTATCCTCAATCACAAAATTGTGCTGTATTTTACCATTATCACCTCTTTGTCAAAACTCAAGTTTTTCTCATTTTTTTTTCTATATTATGTATCCTTAGTTGTGTTTCCTGGATCTCATTTTTTGCCTTCTCTGTAATACGTTGTTCTGTCAAGTACCTTCTTTTGCATATCTTTACTTTGTCAGCCCTTTCCTGCTCCTTCTCCTTTATCTGAAAATATATTCAACCTTCATTTTTCTTTTTTTTTTTTTTGAGACAGAGTCTCACTCTTTTGCCCGGGCTAGAGTGAGTGCCATGGCGTCATCCTAGCTCACAGCAACCTCACACTCCTGGGCTCAAGCGATCCTCCTGCCTCAGCCTCCCGAGTAGCTGGGACTACAGGCATGCGCCACCATGGCCGGCTAGTTTTTTCTATATATTTTTAGTTGTCTGATTAATTTCTTTCTATTTTTTGGTAGAGACGGGGTCTCGCTCTTGCTCAGGCTGGTTTCGAACTCCTGAGCTCAAACAATCCGCCCGCCTTGGCCTCCCAGAGTGCTAGGATTACAGGCGTGAGCTACCATCAACCTTCATTTTTCACTTATTACTTATATTTGAGATATTTTAGCATCTGTCCTATCACTGTCCCTGTGTTAATTCCTACTACTGAACTGAAACTCTTGCTTTTCACTGGTAATTTCCTGATCTCTAATTCCAAAGGCTTGTTTTTAGTCCTTAAATGATTTCATTTGTCTTCAGCATTTGATAATGTTCTTGACCACTTCTTTGATATATTATAGAAACTCTTCCAACATCTTATCTTTCTGTAGTCTTGTGGTTCTCTTGACCTGAGTGCTGCTCCTGTCTTATTTGTACCACTCTTTCCCTTCCTGCCCACTAAGGAGGAGGCAGATTGTGCTCTTGGAACTTTGTTTTCTCTGCGTGCTCTGATGATGGTCATTCATTCTTATCATCAGTTATTACCTCTGCATAGAAATAGACTCTCAAATATCTCTATCACTGTTATCCCTCCATCTCTCCAGATTCATTTCCCAAATTCTTAGCGAGATTCTCCGTCATCTCCTCTGTGTGTTTTGAAGCAAGCTCATCTTCACTTGATACCTGCTCTTCCTGTGTTTCCTCTTTCTGATAATGACCTTATTGTCTGAGGTAGGTAAACTTAAAACCTTAGTCTTTTGTCTTGCCTCTTATCTTTTCCTTTCTCATGCTCTGCATACCATTTCAGACTATAGGATTTATCTGTTCTTCTTGCACAGTATCCCTCTATCCCATGCCTTGTTACTGCTTAGTGAGAGCCTCGTTCCTTTTCCCTGAGACTGAATGCCTTCCAATTTCCTCTAGTTTTAATTCTTCCAATACAGTCTATTTACTGCTGCAAAATAAATTGTATCCCTGATCTTATTTCCACACTCATAAATTTTCGATGATATCCCATTGCTTATAGAATAACGTTTTGAACTCTTTGACTATGGTATTCAGCACCCTCTTAATTTTTTATCAGCCTACTTTTGCAGATTTGCTCCCAAAATTGCTTAATCATACCAGATCAGATCTGTTCCTAGAATATATGGTGATTTTTCCCCCACTTTGGTGCTTTGATCATTCTGAGCAATCAAAAGAGAATTTCCATAATCTCTTACCACCACATTAACCTGTCTACCTACATCTGTGCCAATATATTCTGTTCTTGCATAACGGTGGATAAAGTGTACAACTAGTCAAGTCCTGCCCTCTCTGTCCTCACTCACTAATTATGGTCTTGTCAGGTATACCCCTCCAGTACCCTCTCTTTCTTATATCATCACTTTTCCTTCTCTGTTAGAGTATTTCTGTCAACATACAAACATACTGTTACTTCTCTCATCTTAATCCATTTTTTAACCCCACTTCCCATCTACCTACCACTTGATTTCTCTCCTTTTTATGGCACACTCTTGAACTCACTCTAGTCAGGCATTTATCTTTTCTACTCTATCCAAACTTATTTTGTCAAGGTCACAGTGACTTCCATGTAGCTCATTCCAAAGATCAGTTTTCCGTTCTCATCGTATTTGATGTCAGCAGCATTTAGCATTGTTGTTTACTCTCTCTTCCTTGAAGTGCTTTTTTCTCGTCTTCCAGACCACCATACTCTCCTAATTCCCTTCTTACTGTATTGGACTCTCCTTCTCAGAATCTTCTGCTGATTTCTCAAAGAGAATCATAGCCTCTAATCTTTGGAGTGTTTCTAGAATTTAATCCTATACCTCTTCTCTTTTCTGTTTATACCCATTCCCTAGATAATATCATCTAGTCTCATAGCTTTAAATATCATTTATATGACTTACAAATTTACTGTATTTCATCGGTTCTAAGGCCCATATTTTTTTCAGATCTTAGCATTCCTGAAATTGGAATGCTCATGAACAATGACATGTCATAATTTAATTAACAATCTTTTTCCTTTTGGTGGCACATAATATAATGGTATGTTACAATTGGTGGTCTTTTAAAGTATGAAACCTAGATCCAGCCCAGATCTTTTTCCTGAACTTGTTTTTGTATTCCCAATTGCTTCTCAACATCTAGCAGCTCTACTTGAATATCTGATAAGCATTTCAAACGTAATCTGTCCAAACTTAGTATGTTCTGTTCTCCAGCAAGACATCATCTCTACATCTGTCTTATCATTTTATTTTATATTTCTTTTAGAGAATATTCCATATTTTGCCTTATCTTTGATTTTTCCTTTATAAAATCACATTGTAACACTAAGCAAATGCTTACTAAATGAAGACAACATTGGCCAGGCATGGTGGCTCACACCTGTAATCCTAGCACTCTGGGAGGCTGGGACAGGAGGATTGCTTGACTTCAGGAGTTCGAGACCAGCCTGAGCAAGAGCGAGACCCTGTCTCTTTTATAATTTAAAAAAAAAAAAAAAAAAAAAAAGACGACATATAGTAGAGTTGATATAATAGCTCTTCTGTTAAACTTTTTAAACTTTCTGTTTACCAATACTTAATTAATATGAAACTTCAAAATAAACATAAAAATTTACTGACTGTAGGCAGTTCACACTAAGTTTTGTTTGGTCCACCCAGTGTTGGTCTGCACAAAGTTCTAAATTTGTTAGGTGCCAACACTTAAAAATTGGGAAATTTTACTTAAAAATCTCAAGTTTCAGGTTTTCCTGGGAATAATAAATGTATTTGGCAGTGTCAGCCTTGCACAGTGATCAGCTAAAGCTGAGAAATAACCATACCTCGGATGAGAGACATGCTCTCCAGTTCAACACAGTCCCTGTCATTCTCTTTGTCTTTTCAACATTAAGATTTTAATGACAGTTGACATTATTGTCTGGCCTACTTAACTGTTTTATGTTACCTTCCTTGTTCCTGTGATTATTTTAGTTTGTAACCCCAGCTTTAGAAGAATATGTACCTTTGCTTTAAAATGGTGATTAGGTGAATAAGGTCTCATCTGAAAACCTAAGCTGTATGAACCTTAACTTGATTTCACTGAAGTACTGACACTAACTCCTTTATTAATTTAATATTGGGCAAAATATTGAATAACATTAGAGTTGTTAAAAAATTTTTTTATTTGTTTTATAGATGCTCCTCCTCCTACTTGGGAACAGCTAGAAAATGGGCTGGTTGCTGTGCGTACAGTAGTACATGGTCTGGTTGATTATATCCAGAACCACAGCAAAAAAGGAGCAGATCAACAGCAGGTAAGGGAGAAGCTTAAAACTTAGAGGTAAGCCACTGTAGGTATACCTGCAGATACAAAGCCAAGAAGATGGCATGAATATTTTGAGACTCTGACTGTAGGAACTATAAATTACCTTATCATGGTTAGCAGCCAGTTTACTGGATTAGCCTAGTAATTTTATCTGACAACACTAAAATTAAAAGATCTTCATTGAACTAATGTTATGATGCTGAGGTCACTCTTCACATTGTATATGGCAGCATTTGATGGAGTAAATAGACTCAGTGCTAAAGTATATTTCATTTAAATGTGATTATTCTCTTTAGTTTGTATTACATTTCAGTTTGACAATAGATGTCACTGTTTAGTGCTAATGCTATATCTCTCCAATACTGTTCAAGTATCTGTAGATTTTTTTTCTGTATTAGTATTTTAAGATTTTTCATTCATAATATCTGTTATGCCAGTGGCCCAAATTTTCCTCCAAGTTTTAAAACGAAATATATATGATGGTAAAATATAATAACTTATAGGTGGAGTTTTAAATTTTATTTTGTCCTCAGGATTTATATTAGGTTCATTAGATCTTTTATCTTATAGTAGCAAGCCTGTGAACTTAAAACTCTTAATTTACCTGGCTCAGGTAAATATTAACAACAGGTTATTCAATATTCCTTTTTTGCTTGAGAGACAAGAAAGATAAAAAGTATCCTGCTAAGTAGAATAATCCGGATATGATTTTCCTAACCAATCTGAACAGAGACCAAAGCTTTATTTTATGGTTAAGAAACAAAAGAAAGGACGCGGGGGGGCTGAGAGGGGAGAGTTGCTCGAGGCCAGGAGTTTAAGACCAGCCTGGGCAACATGGCGAGACCCTGTCTCCACAAAAAAAAAAAAAATTAGCCCAAGTGGTGGTGCACGCCTGTAGTCCCAACTACTCAGCAGGCTGAAGCAGGAAGATCACTTGAGCCCAGTGTGTTGTGATCATGCCATTGCACTCCAGCCTAGGCGACAGAGCAAGACCTGGTCTTTAAAAAAAAAAAAAAAGAAATAAAAGGAAGGAAAAATCTACAGTTTTTAACTCCCTGTTCCATTAGACATCATGAAGATTTACAAAAATAATGAAACTGACTACTTTAAAGTCTGCCATATAGTGATAAAATGCACTAAATTTTGTTCAGTTTAGTGTTGTGTTTCATATCTCATTAATTTCCAAATCTGCTGTCTTGTCTTATCTCTGAGTTGTAAATAATAAGTCTCATTTGTAATTTCGGAGATATTTTAAGTCCTCAGCATATTCTTCTGCATAGCAAGAATTGGTTACAGAATATTCTTGATTATAGGGCCTTTTGTAGATTTTTGTGGTGTGTTATAAGGAAGCATGTATAGCTATACCAAACATTTTACAAAACAAATATTAGAAGAGAGTTTATATATTTGAAAGTCTTAAACTCCACTGGTTTGTTTTTCCATTATAAAATGTGGAAAGGCAATCACAGAGCCCTCATGAGATTTATTCAAGAATTTATATGATGCTACCTGTTTGAGAATTAATATCAACATGTCAGAAAAATCAGGACTATCTTCTTTCAGTTGATTTGTTTACTTTGGAATCTCTGAGACTTGAAACAGAATGACTTTCCATCACTTTCGCTCTGAGTAGCCTAGGTAAACATGTGAATTAGTCTTAAATTATTCATCTAGACTGTCAAGATCCTAAAATGACAGCACAAAGTTTATGTTTTGGGGTGTTTTTTTCTAAATGTCTAATATTTTGATTTTGGTCTTAGCCTCCACAGCATAGCAAATATAAAACATACATGTGTCGAGATATGAAGCAGAGAGGAGGATGCCCTCGTGGGGCCAGCTGTACATTTGCACATTCACAGGAGGAACTAGAAAAGTAAGTGTGAAAGTTATGAGACTCAGCCTTTGGAATAACTTGCTAACATTAAGAAATACATAATGAGTAGTTGCTTTCTGTTCAACGAATAGGAAATGTTTAGAGTGTAATACAGCTTCAGCATCCGTAATCTGAAAATCCAAAGTGCTCCAAAATTTGAAACTTCTTGAGCACAGACATGACACCACAAGTGGAAAATTCCACACCTGCCCTCGTGTGATGAATCACAGTCAAATCTTAGTTTCAGACACAAAATTATTAAAAATATTTTATAAAATTACCTTCAGGCTGTGTGTATAAGGTGTATATGAAACATAAATGAATTTCATGTTTAGACGTGTGTTCCATCACCAGGACATCTCATTATGTATTACGAGATACTATGCAAATATTTCAAAATCCAAAAAACCCAAAATTCTAAAAACTTCGGTTTCAAGCATTTTGGTTAAGGAATACTGAACGTATACATAATTTTACAAAAAGAAAAGCAGTTTCTTCAGATTTCATTACATCATGCCCATAGATAGAAAACTATTTTATGGTTAACTAAATCAAAAAGTGAGTCATTTTCACTACAAAAAAAATTAAAACTTTAATAATTTTAATCGATTTTAACTAATTGCATAATGTATTTTCAATGGAAAATATTCCCTTGGCTCAATTTCTCCGGCTCTTTCAAACTTCAGGGACCACATAATTCCAGTGATGTCAATTTTTCAGCACATTGAAGAAAGCAGAGAAAATGTCTTAATTTTTTTAAAAAGCTAGTTTAACACTGACACTAAATTTGACAAAGACAACACAACTAAAGAAAACTGCAAATCCATTTTACATATCAATATTAAAAATATCCAAAATTAAAATAGAATTCAATAATACATTAAAATAGATGCCATGACTTAGTACAAAGTTCATACAGTAAGAAAAGAAAGACCCATATGATCATAGGCAAAGATGCCAAAAGGCATTTAAATAAAATTGTGAAGTGTAAAATCAGAATCCCTTAATACAACAGAAATATCATAGGTGCTTTCTCAGCATGACAATAAATTATATTTTAAAAGCCAGCATGGTAGTATGGTGCTTAATTAGTAAAAT